TCTTTCTCTATCTAAATTAACTCACTTAGCATAATACCCTCTAGGTCCATCCATGTTGTTGCAGATGGCAAGATTTCATTCTTTTCATTGCCGAATAATATTCCATTGTGTGTGTGTGTGTATATGTATATACATCTTTATTCATCTATTGTTGGATACTTATGATGCTTTCATATCTTGGTTATTGTAAATGATGCTGTAATGAACATAGGGGTGCAAATATCTTTTTGAATTAGTATTCTTGTTTTCTTTGGATATATACCCAGAAGTGGAATTGCTGTATCATATGGCAGTTCTATTTTAAAATTTTTGAGGAATCTCAAAAATTTAAATCTCACAGTGGCTTTACTAATTTATAATCCCACCAACAGTGCATGAAGGTTCCCTTTTCTCCACATCTTCACCAAAATGTTGATTTATTGATAATAGCCATTCTGACACCAGCGAGGTGGTATCTCATTGTGGTTTTGATTTGCATTTCCCTGTTGATTAATGATGTTGAGCATCTTTTCATATGTCTGTTTAGCCATTGGTATGTCCCCTTTGGAGAAATATCTGTTCAGGTCCTCTGCCCATTTTTAAATTGGATTTTTTTTTTGATGTTGAGCTGTATGAGTTCCTTATATACAGATGGCACAAAAACAATATATACACATTTTAAGAAAGGAAAAACTGTATTAAAATTATGCTGATGGTAACCACTTTGAGCACCTCTTGTAATTGCAGAAGTCAACGTGACTTGTATTCATCTTTTGTTATCAGTATATATTGAGTATTACAATTTTAATACAGTTTTTTCCTCTCTTAAAATGTGTATACATTTTTTTGGCACTCTCTGTATTTTGGATATTAACCCCTAATTGGATGTATAATATACAAAATCTTCTTTTATTCAGTGGGTTGTCTTTTCATCTTGTTGATGGTTTCCTTCACTGCAAAACTTTTTAGTTTGATGTAGTCCCATTTGTTTATTTTTTCTTTTGTTGTCCTTGCCCAAGGAGACATTTTCTAAAATGTATTGCTAAGAATAATGTCAAAGAGTTCACTGTCTATGTTTTCTTCTATGAGTTACATGGTTTCAGGTCTTACATTTAAATCCTTATTCCACTTTGAGTTTATTTTTGTATATGTTGTAAGAAAGTGGTCCAATTTCATTTTTTTTTGCATGTATCTATCCAGTTTTGCCAACACAATTTATTGAAGAGACTGTCTTTACTCCATTGTATATCCTTGCCACCTTTGTCGTAGATTAATTGACCACATAAGCAAGGATTTATTTCTAGGATCTCTATTCTATTCAATTGATCTATATACCTGTTTTTTGCCAGTACCATACTGTTTTGATTATTGTACCTTTGTAGTATAGTTTGAAATAAGGGAACATGGTACATCCCACTTTGTTATTTCTTAAGATTTCTTTGGCTATTTTAGGTCTTTGGTGTTTCCATATAAGTTTTAGGATTAGTTGTTCTAATTCTGAGAAGAATGCCACTGGTATTTTATAATATTAAGGATTGCACTGAATCTGTATATTGGTTTAGTTAGTAAAGACATTTTAACAATAGCAATCCTTTCAATCCTAGCAAGTTGTGTCCTTCCATTTATTTGTATCTTCAATTTCTTTCTTCAGTGTCTTATAATTTTCAGAGTACAGCTCTTTCATCTCTTTGGTTACATTTACTCCTAGGTATTTTATGCTTTTTGATGCAATTGTAAGTGAGATTGGTTTTTTATTTATTTTATTTTTTTAAACGATTTTTTAAAAATTGGGGAATTGGGGGAGGGGACCAGTGTTAGAGAATTGGGGAGGGGGACCAGCCAAGTTGTTGCTCTTCAATCTTAGTTGTAGAGGGCGCCAGTTGCTATCTGGCTGCCCGTTGGCAGCTCGTGGCCTCTAAGCTCAAGGTGCTATGTTACAATCTTAGTTGCGGGTGGGCATAGCCACCATCCCATGTGGTAGTCGAACCAGCAGCCTTGTTAAGAGCACAGGCTCTATCCACTGAGTCATCTGGGAGGCAGCTCAGCTCAAGGTGCCGAGTTCAGTCTTAGTTGTGGGTGGGCATAGCCCACCATCGAACAGGCAGTCTTGTTGTTAGGAGCACGTGCTCTCACCAGCTGAGCCATCCTGCCACCTGTTGGCAGCTCAGGTGCAGAGTCACTGGCCCATGTGGGAATCAAACCGGCAGCCCTGTTGTTCAGAGCTCACACTCTTAAGCTAACTCTTAACCAACTGAGCCACTCGGCCTGCCTGAGATTGTTTTTTTAAATTTCTTCTTCTGATTGTTCATTATTGATGTATAAAAACACAAAAGAGTTCTGTATATTGATTTTGTGTCCTGCAACTTTACTAAATTCGTTTATTAATTCTAATAGTTTTTTGATGGAATCTATAGGGTTTTCTATATATAGTATCATATCATCTACAAATAATAAGAGTTTTACTTCTTCCTTTCTAATTTTGATGCCTTCTATTTCTTTTTCCTGTCTGATTGCTGTGGCTAGGACTTCCAACACTGTGTTGAATAGAAATGGTAATAATGGGCATTCTTGTCTTGTTCCTGATCTTAGAGGAAAGGCTTTCAGCTTTTCACCATTGAATATTAGCTGTGGGTTTGTTGCATATACATTTTATTCTGTAAAGTTATGTTCCTTCTATACCTATTTTGTTCAGAGTTTTTATCATAAAAGTATGTTAAATTTTGTCAAATACTTTTTCTACATCTATTAAGATGATCATATGGATTCTATCCTTCATTTTGTTCATGTGGAGTATCACATTGATTGACCATCCTTGTCCCCCTGGGATGAACCCCACTTGGTCAAGGTATATAATGCCTTTAATGTGTTCTTGACTCTGGTTTGCTAATATTTCATTGACAATTTATGCATCTATGTTCATCAAGGATACTGGCCTGTAATTTTTCTTATTGGTAATGTCTTTGGTTTTGGTATCGTTGTAATGCTGGCTTCATAAAATGAATTTGGAAGCCTTCCTTTCTCTTCAGTTTTTTTGAAATAGTTTAAGGATAGCATTAATTCTTCTTTGAATGATTGGTAGAATTCACCTGTGAAGCTATCGGGTCCTGGGTTTTTGTTTTTTTGGGAGTGTTTTGATTACTGCTTCAATTTTATTGCAGTAATTTTTCTGTTTAGATTTGTATTTCTTCTTGGTTCAGT